GAGGCTCTGGTTAAACTGGAACGAGGCGCGGCCTCGTCCCGCGGTCCCTGCCCTGGGGACTCTGACCCCGCGGGCCGGCCAGGGGAGCTGAGGCGGGCGGTGACGAGCAGCCCCACAGCCGAGCGAGCGAGGAGCCGAACAGGATGGATCCCACTTTGGAGCTGGCAGATGACCCCAGGTGAGTGCTGGAGATCCCCGTGCCGCTTTGCAGCCGGGCAAATCCAACGTTTTGGATCAGAACTTTGGATGATCCCTCTGTAAAGGAAGGGAGGCGCTTGGCGGTGAGGCAAGCCAGCCAGGGGACTGCTCGGACCCTGCGGGGCTGGCTGTCCCCGTGTCCCTGCGGCCCCGGGCAGCACTCCCGTTCTGCTCTGCAGGTTCTCCCTCCCTTTGGTGGAGATGCTGATCAAGAACTTCAGCGTGCCGGCAGCCTGCTTCTCCCTGCCGCCCACCTCCCGGCAGCTGCTGCACCGTAGGTGGGGGGACAGGGTGGGGAGGACCCTGCTGTTGTCGCTGGCGGGAGCAGGACAGGAATGAAGGTGGTAGGGTGGCCGTGGCAAGTGCAGGCACGGAACAGTCCCAGAAGTCAGAAACTGGGCTGGTGCCAGGGTCTTAGCCTCCCATCTCATAGTCCTTCCTAGAGGGATGGGGACAGCCCAGGAAGGGCCAGCACTGGGGCAGCTGTCATGGGACAGGGAGCAGTGGCACAGAAGGGCCAGCTCTGGCATAGACAGGCATGTCCAGGGCATGGCACAGAGCTTCCTAAATCTGTGGAGTGGTGGGTCATGGAGCAGCTCCCTGCAGTAGTGGCCCCAGTGGGGACAGGATGAAGACAGCTTCTCACCCCTCCCTGGCAGAGCTGGACATAGCCCAACTCATCATCCTGGGCCTCTGCACCATCATGACACTGCTGTCAGTTGTGATCTATGTGGAAGAGGTTTCGTACCTCTTCCGCAAGATCCGCTGCCCTATCAAGATGAAGACCCTCTGCTGGAGCAGCTCAGCCCCTACGGTGAGCTGGGCTGAGGGGGTGCTGGGGGGGCATCACCCTGGGGGTCCAGAGCTACCCAAGGCGTGCCAGCCCACAGGAAGGGGGAATGTCAGTGTGCCAAGCTCATGTGTCCCCCAGGTTGTGTCAGTGGTCAGCTGCTTCGGCCTGTGGTTCCCGCGCTCCATGATGGTGGTGGAGATGGCTACCACAGCGTGAGTATCACCCACCCTGGGACAGGCCACCATGGAGCCCACAGGGCTTGACTTGCCTTCCTCCTCCCCAGGTACTTTGCTGTCTGCTTCTACCTGCTAATGCTGGTCATGGTGGAGGGCTTTGGGGGCAAGGAAGCGCTGCTCAGCACCCTGAAGGATGTGTCCATGGTGATCAGCACTGGGCCGTGCTGCTGCTGTTGCCCCTGCCTGCCCCGAATCACCATGAGCAGGTGAGGGGGTCTAGATAAACTTCTGCCTCTAGAGAGAGAGCTTTCATCCCCTGCTTCTGCTAGGCTGGAAGAGACGTCCCTGGGCAGGGACTTGGGGAGCTCAGTGTGCTACCAGTCTCTCTCACTATGCCAGGAAAAAGCTTAAACTGATGATCCTGGGGACTTTCCAGTATGCCTTCTTCAGGGCAGTCGCTGTCTTCCTGGGGCTGATCCTGGCTGCTGATGGGAATTACAACCCTGCTGACGTGAGTGCCAGAGCACAGGGATGGGCAGGTTGATGACCTAGACAGGAAATCTCCACCTGAGCTTTGTCAGCCCAGTAACGTTTTCTGTGTGTCCCCCCCAGATTTCAGCAGAAAGTGTGGCCCTCTGGATCAACACCTTGGTTGGTGTCTCCACCCTCTTTGGGCTGTGGGCCCTGGGCATCCTCTTCCGGCAGGCCCGGCTGCACCTGGCTGAGCAGAACATGCAGGCCAAGTTCACCTGTTTCCAGGTGAGCTTCTGTCCTGCCCAGCTCCCTCCTAGGTGAGGGGGTCTAGATAAACTTCTGCCTCTAGAGAGCTTTCATCCCCTGCTTCTGCTGGGCTGGAAGAGACGTCCCTGGGCAGGGACTTGGGGAGCTCAGTGTGCTACCAGTCTCTCTCGCTGTGCCAGGAAAAAGCTTAAACTGATGATCCTGGGGACTTTCCAGTATGCCTTCTTCAGGGCAGTCGCTGTCTTCCTGGGGCTGATCCTGGCTGCTGATGGGAATTACAACCCTGCTGACGTGAGTGCCAGAGCACAGGGATGGGCAGGTTGATGACCTAGACAGGAAATCTCCACCTGAGCTTTGTCAGCCCAGTAACGTTTTCTGTGTGTCCCCCCCAGATTTCAGCAGAAAGTGTGGCCCTCTGGATCAACACCTTGGTTGGTGTCTCCACCCTCTTTGGGCTGTGGGCCCTGGGCATCCTCTTCCGGCAGGCCCGGCTGCACCTGGCTGAGCAGAACATGCAGGCCAAGTTCACCTGTTTCCAGGTGAGCTTCTGTCCTGCCCAGCTCCCTCCTAGGTGAGGGGCTCCTGCAGCACAGATGGGGTGAGGCAGCATGAGAGAAGATGGTGGGGCAGGAGCCACTGCTGGGTGAGAGTCCTGCTGGCTGCAGGACAGCAGGGAAGGTGAAAGCTGGGAGCAGGGCAGCGGCACAGCCCTCACCATGGGAGTGTTTGTGGTCGCAGCTCCTGCTCCTCCTGACGGCGCTCCAGCCTGCCATCTTCAGCATCCTGGCCAACAGTGGCAGCATCGCTTGCTCACCGCCCTTCTCCTCCAAGGCCAGGTCACAGCGTAAGTCGGAGATGGGAGAGCAGCACCACATGTTCCCAGCCAAGCCCCTCTATCACGTGGCATGGCATGGGGGGTGGGCATGGTGGATGGAGGCACCTTCAAATGACCCTTCTCCTCTTCCAGAGATGAATATGCAGCTGTTGATCCCACAGACCTTCATCCTGGCGGTGCTGACGCGGATGTACTACCGCAAGCAGGATGACAAGCCTGGCTACCATCCCGTCAGCTTCGCACCCGCCGGCACCGACGTCAAGGCGTGAGCAGGAAGGAGAGACTGGGGGGGCCAACGGGCACAGTGGGGTGAGGGGCTGGTCTACCCTGCACAACCTTCTCCTCCCCTGACCCTGGGGAGCTGCTGGCAGCAGAAGAGGGAGAAGGGGAAAGAGCATCTTGGGACAGAATGAAAAAATCCATAAGCCAAGGTGGTCCATGGAGCCACCTCCAGCCTGGAGATTTTTGTCTAGCACTGAGTAAAGATAAATTTTTACTGGAGTCTTGCATTGGTGACTGGGTTCAAATTATCTCTGCCTAGGCTGGGTGGGAGATGACTCCATCATCCTCCAGGATGGAGCCCAGATGAACACAGCCATGGCATGGGACTGCTGTGGATGTCCAACATCCAGCTGTGTGTCACTGAGCTCTGGGTGCTGCTGGCTGAGGTCCCACAGCCAAGGCAATGGTGATTTCTCCCAGGACATCAGGATGGGTCTGACCTGTCCCTGTGGCCTGTTCTTGATGGCACTGGCTGCTCCTGAAAGCACACAGGGAGCATCCACACCTGCTAGTCAGGTGCCAGGCAAAGGAAATGGCCTTGAAGCGCCTTTGTAACACCAGCAATTCGTTAATGCTGTCTTAACCAGACTTGGTCCAGTACCAGTATCTGCTCTAGACATGGGGATGGACATCAGGAGCAATGATAATTTGCAGAAACCACTGGGTAATCTTTTGACCCCAAGTGTTCATTATAGACACCAGAAGCACAACTCAGACCATGGTTTCAAATGAGCAGATCACGTTAGAAAGTTGCAGCCACTCTCCAATGCTCTTTCTTCTACCACCATCCCTGGTACCTCTCAGTTTTATCCTGTTGCTGCTGTTCTTGGCCATCAGAAAATCCTTTCCCTGGAGCTCACACCCCAGATCTACTGAAGAAGTGAAGTAGGGCTGTTTCACGTGAGTAGATGGCTCTAGATTTGGCAGCATCAATTCTGCAGGGTTCTTCACTGCATGGTAGTGAAGTTTTGTTTTTCCACTGTTTTTCCAACTTTTACTTCATGTCTCTTCTGAATGCTTCTTTTGAAAACTGAGGGATGGCTCAAGAGGTACACAGGACAGCCCTGAAGCAGCAGCACTGCGTGTATCTGTGGGAATGACATGATCCTGGGGAACCTGGTTCATATTTTGCTGAAAGATCAAGCTCTTACCTACTGGTAAAACATGACAGTGCTGGAGAAGACTGGTCAAGGAATCCAGAAAAAAAAAAAAAGGCAAAGGAAAAAAAAATAAAAAAGACTAGACTGGGATTTCAGTGTCCAATTTAATTTCAGTGCAAGGAGGAAGCAGAGATTATTGGTTACAAGAAACAGCTCTGTTATTCCAAGCTACATGTAAAACCACGGCTGGCTTCTTACCAAGCACCCCAGATTTTGCAGAGAGACCAAGTATGTTAAGGTCTCTGCAGAACAAGCCACCATCCAAAACACCATGGTTACCCAAACTTACAGAACACTGTTGCATAACTTGTGTTTAAAACAGTAGTAAGGCTCTAAAGCAGCCTGGCCTTTGTGAATTGGCTCAGGGAAGCAACCGCAACATCCGTACTGAGGGAAGGGTGAGGAAGGGAAGATAAGGGAAGAGACAATGTGGGTGATACAAAGTAAGTGTTCTACCACTCATAAACCAGAGGATTAATAACTGGATTCTACCATGTGACTGTTATTTGCTCCTTACAGTTTAAAATCCACAGCAGCCAGCCATGCTCCCACAGCTGTGCACATCCCTGCTGAAAGAGGTCCGAGTGGCAGATTAGGGATCCCCAAAACACCCTTTCCCATACTGGTTCTGGCCTCAAGAGAAGCACAGAACCTCTGTCAAGCCCTTTGGGAAGCATGACAAAAGACCATTAAGACACAAGCTGGAAAGAAGCTGCAGCCTGTTCCTACCACAGGGCCACCATGTGCTCTGGAAGCATCACAGCGTGTGCCGAGCTTGTGGCAGCACTTGATGAGTTTCCTCTTTGCATCTGCTGCTCCCCAAGCCTCACATCCTGCTCTGGAGACCTCCCTGCAGCATTGCTGACAGGGGTCTGAGCTGTCCTCTGTTTCCAGCACCACAGGATACAGGCAACTCAGCCCAGCAGCTCCACCCAGAGACAGTGGGTAACAGAACCAAACCCTGGCAGAAAAGCTCCACAGCTACAAGACAGCAAGGCAAATTTCTCCAGTGCTAGCTGCAGAACAGGGTGGACCAACCTGCTCTGCTCAGCCATGGGGAGGGCAAGTCCCATTGGGGACCCACAGGCCACAAAGCTCGGTGTGTATCACAGACATGACAGCAGGCACAACTTGGACCACGGACTCAAATGAGCACTGTGTATTTAAATAACCTTAAAAAGCTGCAGCAGTCTCTGATGCTCCTTCCACCCTGCCTCATGGAGCAGAGTGAGCAGGCATGGATTTGTGCATGTTCTACACAAGCCAGGTAACTGTCACACAGGACTGGGGCCCTTCATCTGTCCAGCTGCACACACTGACATGGGCAGCGAACTGGCTGCTTTGCCCTTAGAGCAGCGACTTCATGGCACCAGTGTGAAGGACTCCTCCAGCCCCTAGAGCACAGCAACTGAAACACAAACACACAGCACAGTGCTGAGGGACCATTTGGACAGACACTAAAACACGTAACACGCCACAGACTGGAACAAGGAATTTCTCAAAAGACTACACACATTCATTTCCTACCTGGCCTCTCACACACTCAAGGAAATGCATGACAGCAAGTGCTCTGAAGCAAAGATTAATTCTCTTCTCTCCAACAGCAACTCAGGGCTCAATTTTACCTCAGGATTTAGCAGTCTTGTTAAGATTAGCTGGAAAGGCCTTTCCCCTGCAGCCCCTCCACTGTTTGGAGCTGTGAATGCTGTGCACTTTATGGGGTGTGCCACTCTACAGTGCTGCAAGTCCTTCCCGGGTGTAACTCCTGCGTGCCAAGCTGGTACTCCCCACCCAGCACGTCCTCACTGCAACACACTGGGAAGCTCAGTTAAGAGCCATGCGAGCACTACAGGTCTGCTGGATAGATTCCTATCGGCTCCAGCCCAGTAGGGATGTCTCTATTTCCTAGAAGCCTCATTACACCACTGCTTTGTGTGTGCTCTCGAGGTCATGCTGGTTGAGGAACTGAGGGGTCTTTCGTTTGGCAGTGGCACAGATAGTGCCTGGGGGTAGGGGGCAAAAAACAGAAGAGCTGAAGGAAAGAAGAAGACAGATGGGTCTTCCCACTCTCCCTCTTGCCTGGAGGCTTAACAAGGGAAAAGAAACCAAAACAAAAGCCACGCTTGAGTGCTATTCTTTGCCCTTTTAACAAATATTTTCTTAAAATATAAAAACCATCTTCACCCTGGAAACCGCTAGAACGTAAACAATAAAAAGGGGACTTAGGGAGACAAAGGGAGAGGAGGTTTGAATGTGCTTCCAGGCAGCAGCCCTTGCTAAGAGCAACGGGTGCCTCCAAGGCCCTGTGCTCACCATCAGCCCTGTTCCTATGGCTCTCTTGCTCATTTAGAGTTCCCCAGTGGGTCTGGACTTAGGATTCAGTGATTAGCAGTCTGCAGCAAATCCTGGCAGGTAGGTTAATCCTCTTCATCCTCACTGATGTCATAGGTGACTGCAGACTTGTTCCTGGAGCGGTTGGCAGGTGAGGAAGGAGGAGTCTTGGTGGAAAAGGGCCAGCGGAAGGAGGGAGATGGCGAGCGGTCGTGTGTGGGGCTGCTGCTGGGACTCTGCTTTGGGCTGATGGCCTGCAGCATCCGGCCCTTGCCCTCTTTCAGCATGTGTTTCTGGTGAGGGAAGCAAGAGGACAGTTAGCATGGATTACAGTCATGGAAATGGACACTACTTACAGCCCATGTAGCATTTTGAGTTGTGTCCCTTCAGAACTTCATGCTATTTAAGAGCAGAAAAAGCCCCAGCATCACTCGGCTTTGGAAACTGCACCCAGTGTAATCATCATTAATTTCCAAGAAATGCCTGTGATATTCACCCAAAAGTGCAGGAAAGCCTGGCATAAACAAGTAGCTTCAGACTCATCTTAGGCCAATGACAAAGTGACCACCATCCTCTTGGCAGCTCAGTGGTCAGCAGGGCACAAACTGGAGTTTACAGGCCTGCTTGTGGGACAGAGGAGTTTTTCACTCTACAATATAACTGGCACTATCTCCTTGGCAATGGTGAGTAGTCCCTGAAAATAGGCTGCCCAAGCCTGGGCCACTTGTCTGGAGACTGGCAGCACACTGAGCACTGCAACAAACGCCAAATTTCTGCTTTCCTATGCAGACTCTGTAGGAGCCCTAAAATGTCTGTTAATGTCTCCAAAATTCCCTTTCCCATTTTCCCAGAACAACTCCTTACCAATGCGCCCTCTGGGCCAAACATCTCCAGGAAATTGCCGATGAACTCCCGGGACTTCTCTTCCCACTTCTGAATGAGATCAATACTCTTCTCTTCCACTTTCTGGACAAATTCCTTTGACTTCTCCTCTACATCCTTCACCCTTTTTTTCACCTTGTCCACGCGTTCCTGGAGGTGATATTTTTTCTCCTGCACAGAGAGTGGTGGATCAGAATACAGCTCACAAGATTTGAGCGGAGACCATCTCTGCTCTGTGTTACTACACTGAACTGCTGCTTGATACTCAGCATCCCCATTAGTCTGGTGACACTTCTCCTTCACTTCCATGACACTTCTTTCCTAGACTACATGGCAGACACAGTGGGGCTGTGAGACACTCTGTGGCAGACACTGGCACAGTACACAAAGCAAAACTAAAGCCAGAGATAAGCACTATCTAATAGGAGTGCATGGAAGAAGGAAATATTTATACAGCACACAGATTAGTATGATTTGCTGTAGGTCTCTCTCGCATATCACAACAGCACCAGTCAGTCTTTCTGCTGGGTATTTCTAAACAGAGGGAGAGTTATGTGCCAAAGAGAGGCCAAGCAGCTGTTACCTCTCCTGTTTCATTGTTCACAGGCACAGTATCTGAGTGATAAAAAAAATGTTTACGACTTTACTTCCAACATCAAAAATGTCTTCTGCCATGCATTCTTTCTGAGGGCTAGAGCTGCACAGCACAGGATCAGATCATATCCTACTGTCCTACCCAAGCACTGCTGTTCCAGGAAGGGAACAGCACAGTGGAAACAGCATCAGATTTTATCCTAACAAATGACTCTACCCTAAGGAGGTGGCTGGGGGAAGAGGAGAGGGATG